TGTGCCCCAGGGGCGGGGGGGGGGGGGGGAGGCAGGAACATGCTGTACCATTCATTCATCCTTATGTAATGAAGAGGGCAAATTCCTGCTTCGAGGGTAAAACTGCTGCCACCTCTGCCCTGTCTTTGGTGACTTTGAGGCCCTGGAGATGGAGATGCTCATCCTGGATTCCGGATGAGCCTACAGGGTGATGGAGGTGCTCATTCTGGATTTGGGCCTGTCTCAGCATCTCCAAACAGCCATGTCATTGGGCTCTCTGAGGGGATGCTGTGACCACCAGGAGCCCCCAGCACTGCTGCCAGGGTTGCATGTGTACCCCACACCCACGAAGGATGGCAGGGATGGGGACATGGGGCTGAGGAGCCAGGTCATGGCCATGGCACACTTGGGACCAGGGATGGCACCAGCTGCATTATTGATGCTGTCATTCAGCACCTAGGGGCTGGGATGTGGTTCCATTTTCTGGGAACAGAAACCCCTCCTGGAGGGGAACCAGAAGCCAAGCACCGGGGGTCTGCAACCCCCCCTGCACACCCTGTATTGCCCAGGGGTGGGAGCTGGAGCTGCCCCCAGGGCCTGGCTGTGAGCTGAGGATGTGTCAGTGCTTTGGAAGCAGCTGCTCCACAGTGGCTCCTGGCAGGGCAGAGGCAGCCCCAGAGGCACTTCAGGGCCAGCAGGACTGGGCCAGCCAGCCCAGGTGTGCACACACACACATACACCCTGCACCGTGCACACGTGTGCGCCTGACAGCCTGTGTGCATTGCTCACACCCTGGGGAACTGTGCTGCCCTGGGAGCATCATCCCAGCTGTTTCTGCTGCAAATTCCTGCCTCTCCTGACTGGAAAGCTGCCATCCCAGCAACCCTGGGGCCCACTTGGTGCAGGCAATGGGTGCTGCCCACCGATGCCATTTGTGGTGCTGCTGGGGGCAGCGGGGGATGGTGCAGAGGCCACGAGTGTGGCAGGGCTGTGGGAGTGTCTGCCTCACTGGAGAGTGAAGAGGGGACTCCAGTGCTGCCTATGTCCCTACTCATCTCCCTTCACCAGCAGGTGCCACCTGGGCACCAGGCTGGCAAATGCTCTCCCCCAGTGTTTTGTGTCACTAGAGGAGGAACGGGACAGCCAGTGGGTATTTAAGAGCCCTTGCAGTGTCTGGGGGACCTTGCCAAGGTGGGCAGGGTACTCCATGGTGCCCAGCCACCTGCAGTGTAACCAGGGAGTGGGCAGAGAGGGGACACAACTGCAACAGAGCCAAGGGCAAGGTCAGAGGAGCTGCAAGGTCGGGGTGCCAGCCCAAGGGAAAGCCCATTCTCTGGGTATCTGCCCCCCCCAACTTTCTCCATGGACCGAGCAGGGCCAGGATGCAGCCCTGGCCTTGCTCCTCCTGCAGCCACGCAGCCCCTGAGACACCAGCTCGCTGTTCGTTCCAATATAACTTTTATTGGGGAGACTGATGGGGGTCAGAACAAGGCCGGGTATAAAACATGATCATTGTCACAACCAGCAGCGGGAGGCATTGGCAGAGCAACACAGAAACGGCCCCGGCCCCGTCCTGCGCCGGCAGCTGCGCCGGTGGCATCGCCTGCTCCCTTGGAGTGGGCAGGGGGCACGGATCAGCCCCTCTCCCTGGATGGGTGCTGGGCTTCAGCCAGCACTGGGGCTGCTCTTCCTCCAGGGTGCGGAGCTCTGCAGGGCCCCCTCGGCTTGCCCAGCCCTGGGACTGGGTGGCAGGTGGCTCTGGTGCTGCAGCCATGCCAGGTTGTGGTGCTCAGCCCCGTGGGAGCACCTGCAGATTATGGCTTTTTCTTTTTTTTTTTTTTGGTTTTGTTTTTTGTTTGGTTTTTTTTTTGCTTTTTTTGGCAGCAAACCTACCCCTCCAGATGCCCTGGAAAAAGCAAGAGAGTCCCCAGGGGCCTCCACCCTGCCAGCCCCCCTGCACAAGGGGTAAGAGAGAGGTGCTGCTTTGGGGAAGGGACCATGGGCAGGAGCCAGACCTCTGCCCCCCCTGCCCACCCAAATTCCCTCACTGTAGCTGGTATTTTGGGGTACAGCACCCCATGCCACCCCTCCAAGCCATCCCACAGGACATGAGTGCAGGGTCTGGGACGGAGCGGCAGAGAACGGGCACAGCTCAATGCCTTTGTGAACGAGTAGCAGCCTGGGACGGGGCAGCTGGGGATGGATGGGGGAAAAAACAAGAATCCTCCAAAACGAGGATAAAGTGGAGCTTTCCTCAAGGGCCTATGGAGGAAACGGGCCGCATGTCTGCTCGCAGCCGTGGGACGGGTGCGCTGGCTTGGCGTGGCTACGACTCAGGCGCAGGGCGGCTTGGCCACTGAGATGAAAGCTTTGGCAAATAACTTACAGAGAAGGGGGGTGGGCAGTCGGGGATCTTGTCCTTGCCTCCTGTGCCAGGTGGGTGACCCAGTGCAACTCCAGGGCTTCTTGTGCCACAGGTGGTGGCCACGGGGTGATGGAGAGTGTCTCTCTGGCTGGGACACGTGTCCACTCTCAAGAGCCGTGGGGAGAGGAGAGGAAGAAGGCGCCTGGGGAAGGAGCCCGATGAGATGCTCAATGCACAGCGGGAGCACTCGCTGCAGAACCTGGGGGAGCCAGAGCCCCTGGGTGTGCTGGTAGATGTTCTGCCCATCGCAGCGTCCCTCTCTCTGGGCAGCACCGGGGTGTAGGGGGCTCTTGCCAGGTCCCAGCATCCCCACCGCCCCCCACCAGTGCCAGTGAAGATGCTGGTCTGACATCCTTGGCCAGGGTGAGTATCAGAGCATCCTTTGGCAGCAAGGAATGGCCTGGGGACTGGATGTGGGTGCTGCCCCATCTGCTCCCAGCTGCCCCGCTGCCTGGGGTGCGGGCAGGGGCGGGGGGCTTACATGATGGTGCAGGAAGACAGTGGGTTTCGGATGTGGCAGGTGCAGGCAGCCCCGCAGTACTGGCGGAAGGTCTGGTAGCAGCTGCGGTCGGTGTCACTGCTCCACTGGACGGGGTTGGTGGCCAGGGCTTCAGCTGGCAGTCTGTT